GGAAATCGTAGCAAAACGGTGCACACCGGTTTGAGCTTGAACGTGCCCCAGGTGTTTGTTGTAGCTATATGGGCGCAGCACTCAGTTTCAAATACATAAATTATGAGTCTTTATAGACATAATGTTTCTTGCGTAAAGAAAGCGCTGTACTTATTCAAACAACAAGATCTTTATTTACCCTTGCAGACCTAGTTCAGCTGCTGTGGAACTTCAGTTCATTCAGTCAAGGTAGAGGGGGTGGAGTTATTAGGTTTACTGACAGTTTGAGCGGATCCAACAAGATTTAGTCACGAGCTCTTTTTAATACCTTTCATTAGCTAAATATTTGTAAAGCAGACAGACCGATGTAAAGGGTGACCAATATCATTGATTTATCGAAGGAAAAAAAACACCATCACCAAAAAAAGGGCACTTCGGAGTGTAAGGGCAAAAAGGGCATGTGCTCTGCACAGGTTGAAAGACTGTACTATCATTCTTTATAACTAAGAGTAACAAAGACAAAATCATTTTATAGAAAAAAATGTTGTACATTAAATGTTAAGTTTATAATATGCATAGTTGATTGCCAAATTTAGGGGCTATGTGCGCTTTAGGCCTATAGACTGATTTACAACACGTGAATTCATTTATTTATCCTGAAAGAAATGAAAGTGACATGAGTGCCTGGTGAAGAGGGAGACAAATATAGTATATATAAAAATAGTAGATTTTATAGTTATATATTCAATGCTCATTTTGTGAAAGAAACACTTCTTCAAATTATATTTTAAATTATCACTAGGCCTATTGTCGCTTGCCCACTTCAGTCATTAGGCCTAATGTGCAATTTCAGTTTTTCAAATGAAATTATAGCTAAATGGTTTGCATTGATTAATTTTAAATCTAGATTAAATCAAGGTTTATCTAATAATTCTGTTGCACCAAACTTTAAACCTTTAAAAATAAGCAGGTTTACATTTTAACCCATCATTTTGATCCTGGATTTAAATTAGGCTATAGCCTATTTAGGCGCATGATTTCAGCGCAATAAACATGATAATCAGAACCAAAACATGTTTTTTTAGCAGGTACCAGCTGTAATGGTGCAGCTCTATTCTGGAAAAGGGGGCGGGGAGCAGCAGCTCATTTGCATTTAAAGAGACAGGCGCGAAAAACAGCGTGTTTCTGCTCCACTCAAAATAGGCATTTTCAAAATGATATAATAAATGATCTGTGGAGTATTTTGAGCTGAAATTTTACAGACACATTCTGGGGACACCAGAGATTTATATTACATATTGTAAAAAGGGGCATAATATGTCTCCTTTAAGCAACATCCTAAGGTATAGTTCGGGGAACACACCTAGGAAAGGTATACCCCTAGTTAAGGTGTACCTTTAGATTCTTCGTAGCGCGCTAAGAGACACCGTTATCGGGAAACGCAGGCCTGGCTTTTAACACTTTCACTAGGTATATGAGTAAATGAAAACACAATACTTACATTTCAATGTGAATTCCCCCACAGAACTCACCCGCAGTGTTCTTTGAATATAAACACCATCGTCATCTGCGCGCAAGTGATTCTGGGATATGGTAGGGTGCTTAGACACGCGGACCGCTAAAAAGGCCTATCCGACCCACGCTGAACTCAAGTTTGTTCAAATGAGCGTGCGCTTTTTCAAGCTGAGATATTTGCTTGTCTTACCTGTCTGAAGAAACCGTACCGCGCTGAACTCGAGTTTGTTTAAATGAGCATGCGCTGTTTTTCAAACCGAGATATTTGCTTGTCTTAGTCTTACCTGACTGATTGAAGAAACTGTAGATAACGTAAGAAGATTGTTTTGGCAACTGTTATCAATGGTTTGTGAGTCTTGTCATAATTTGGATCTTTTTGAAGCTGTTATCTAATGTTTTATGTTTAATGGGATCTCCTCGCTGATTAGGCTACAGATATAAAAGTGGGAAATTTGAATAATATTTTTAACATTTAGTAGGCTCTAAAAAAGATATAACTTTTAATTAAGTGAACTTTAAACAATCTTCACAAACTATAATAAATTGTATTTTATAGTTTTGGCATAATTGTGTGTTTTTGTCGGTTGAAGAGCTACTAGCGCACTGAAGCGGCTCAACGAATGCGAACAGCCGAACGCGCAGCCTTTCAAACTGTAGTCCATTTGATAATCAGCTTCGTTCAGTGTCTGCGCTATTTCTCGCCAGATGTTATGACATAACACTGTCTTTATACTCGTTTAAACTTAGAGTTGTGGATATCTCATAAGCCCCTCACACAAGCGCTTGTCAACGCTGCCGTCTATTGATGTTGCGGTCTTCGGTAGGTTGCTGTTGTTGCATCTCTTGCTTTTCTTTTTCGGCTGTAAAACAACGGCCCAGGCCATTGATTCCACCTTGTGGACAAACTAATTAGTGCAAAAACAATTCAAGGCGTAGGCCTATGTGCGACCTGCGTGTACTCTTCCCTCGGGCCGGATGAAGATGATTGGCGGGCCGGATTGGGACAATTGAATAGCCCTGCTCTATGGGATTGAGATCTGGGGAGTTGCCTGACCACGGATCCAAAATTTCAGTGTAATGATCTTCGAGCCACTTCTTTATCACTCTTGCTTTGTGACATGGTGCTCCATCATGCTGGAAAATGCATGGATCATCACCAAATTGCTCATGGATCGTTGGAAGAAGTCGCTCTTGCAGGACGTTTTGATACCATTTTTTATTCCTGGCAGAATTATGAGAGAGCTCACTCCCTTGGTTGAAAAGCAACCCCACTCATGGATGGTCTCAGGATGCTTCACTTACACCAACCTGCTGCCATTCCTGAGCAAGCTCTGCACTGCTGGTGACACGATTCCGTAGCTGACTCCTCAGGAGGAGACGGTCCTGGTGCTAATCCGGGTAAATGGCTCTTTCAGGTGCAATATCTTTGCATGTGAGGCCATTTTGATGCAACGCGATGATGGCTGCATGTGTTTCTTTGGAGGTAACCATTGCTAACAAGAACACAATGATTGGAAGCGCTTCTTCCCTCTAGAAACAATGTGAATGAACACCACAACAGTTTAAGCAGCAAACTTTGCAAAACACAACATTTATGTCACTGCCAAAACTTTTGGCCATGACTGTATGTAACTTGCTAAAGACCACAACTAATCAGTGATTAATTTATTTATAACGAATTTAAAAGAAACTAAATTAAATGGCTAGTGGGGCACAAGAGACACTGCAGATTACTGAGAATGACCTGATACTTCAGTTCTGAGCTTACAATTTATCAAATTCACTCTTTAACACTGTTTTGAAATAGGAAATGATTGTCAAGTATATGAAATCCAAGGTAAGTTGTTAATATATTATCTCATGTTCTTAAAGATTCTCTTGACAAATGTATGTGTTCAAAATATTTATACATAGTTAGTAGTAGGAGTCTGTTTCTCCCTCCTTCCTGGAATATTTCTCCACGCCTTTCCTGCAATGTTTACATTTTTCAGGAGGGCCTCCCAAGCATTAATTGTGGAGAGGGGTCTGCAGTGGCTGAGTGAAAGGCAGGGCCAGTTGCATCCCCCGAACGACGACCCTGTTTCCCTGTCTAGCTTAAAAATGTGTCAACTGCAGAATCCATCACTTAATAGTCTTTGACAAAGGGAACGTGCTATTTTCTTCAACACCATGATTCTTCAATTTATATATGACAGCTTTGATTTTAAAAGCTGGATCATTTTAAGTTTTGTTTGACTGCTTCTTGTAGATATCATCAAATATAGGAATCCTTCCAGTTTCCCCCCAGGACCCTGGCCTCTACCATTCCTGGGAAATGTCTTCACTGAGATAGATTTTAGGAACGTGAATAAGGTAGGAGGAATTTGCATAATTTGTTTATTTGCATGCCAATTAATGTTCTTTTTAGACAGTATTGTGTCAGTGGATATGTTAATATTTTGAATTTCAGTTGGCTGAAGTCTATGGGACCATATTCAGCTTAAGAGTGGGCAGTGAGAAAATGATAATTGTTTCTGGATATAAAATGGTAAAGGAGGCTCTCATTACTCATATTGACAGTTTTATTGAGCGTCCAAATGTCCCTCTATTTCACAAAGTTTTTAAGGGAATTGGTAAGTACCTTTATTCTTACAGTTAAGGTTTATTATTCTCTCTAATAGTACCCATTTAGTTATTGAAATTCTTTCATTCATTCATATTATGAAGGTACGATACTGAGTAATGGTTACTTGTGGCGGATGCATAGGAAGTTCCCTTAAAAACTTTGTGAAACAGATGGACATTTGGACGCTCAACAAAACTGTCATTCTGAGTAATGAGGGCCTCCTTTACCATTTTATATCCGGATATGATTACTATTTTCTCACTGCCCACTCTTAAGCTGAACACCTTCCCATAGACTTCAGCCAACTGAAATGAAAATATTTATTTTACTTTATTCACTCAATAATCTGAAATCATCTCTAAAATGGATGTAAAGTGACAGACCTGCAAATTAAAACCATATGAATTTAGCTCCTACCTTATTCATGGTCCTAAAATCCATTTGAGTGAAGATAGTTCCCAGGAATGGCGATCCCGGTCTCATGAAAATGTGTATAAATAGTACGCCAAATAAAAACCCTAAACCTACCCATCGCGTTTTCATTTTTATTTGGCGTACTATTTATACGCACTTTCATGAGATCGGGTTGGAATGGCAGAGGCCAGGGTCTTGGGGGGAAATTGGAAGGATTTTTGTTTTTGATAATATCAACAAGGAGCAGAGATACAAAAAAATTACCCAGCTTTTAAAATCTGTCTAAAAAAAAGCTTTAAAAATCTAAAAAAGCTGTCATAGATCAAATGCAGGATCATGGTGGTAGAGGAAATGACAGGTTCCCTTTGTCTTATTGGAACTCTGGTGCTTACTGGTATAATAAATTTTGTATAGAACTGGGAAATGTAAATACTGGAGGGGAGGAGTACAGAGATATTACATATTACATAAGGCACTCCGGATTCCACTAAGGTGGAGAACAGAACCCTATGGAAACACATTTATCAAAAGTAAAATTTTGAAGATAAGAACAAGTTATTACAAACACGTAATAACACGTAACAACATCAAAGTTCTGCCTGACATGTCTACATTTGCCTAGAGGTTTTTCAAACTGTGTTAATAATTTCTTTCTGCTTTAATCATACATGTACTTTGGCTTGTCTTTTTACTTTTTTTCTGTGCTTTCATATACTTTGGTACATTTTAATTTGTACAATAATTGCAAGCTCATTACAGAGTACAAGGGTGAATTATTAACTTGACATGCATGACTATTGCAATGATGCTGCATTTTGAAAACAGAGATATTTATTGTGACAAATGGTTTGCCAAGTTGTGATTTATTTACATAAACATGAAAAGAACACAGCAAATCATACACAGTATACAACTTTTATTAATACATTAGATATGCATGTTGTAATATATGACACATTTGTACATCAGAACAAATACTGTAGGTATTAGTATTAAAACACTGAAGATAAACCACCACCGTGTAGCCTACTTAATGGTAACATAAATAATGAATACTTACACAATAGATATTCTATCATAGCAGATATACAGTATGTAATAATAATGTATGTGTATCCTCTAACGTGAGGACACACACATATCTCTCCCTCCAAACTGGGTTCCTCTCCTGGACATTTGGTGACGGTGAATTGCTGCAGCAGAGTGGTGAAGAACAGGAAGATCACCTGACGAGCCAGCTGCTCTCCCAAACACGCTCGCTTACCTGTGAGCAGATGCCATCAGATGAAGTTAAAATCATAATGTGGCACAGACAAATATCATTTACTCACCCAAAGTCAATAACAAGGATTAAACACAGGCATATCACTTTTTGAGAAGTCATCAGATGGTATGTTTGCACATTACCTGCTGAAAATGGCAGGAAAGCATCTCTTTTCCGAAACTGGCCATTTTCATTCATGAAATGTCCTGGGTCAAAGGTATTTGGGGTTTCCCATTCATTTGGATCATGCAGGACTGAAGACAGGTTTACTGTAATAGAGGTCCCCTAATAAAGAGAGAATGAAAACTTCACTATTCTAGAAAGGACCCCTACCCTAAATAGAATAGAATAGAATTCATATAGGAATGAAGAATCCTCCTAGTTTTGTGTCTTTAACAGCTTTTTTAGGGAATCCCAGTGGAACAACATCCCCAAATCTTTGCATCTCATGGATAACAGCCTCAGTGTAGGGCATATCAACTCTGTCAGCCAAACAGGGTTGACGTGACTGTCGAATAACCCTGTCTATCTCTGCCTGCACCTTTTCTGAATGGGAAATATAATATTACTTATATAGTGTGTATTTTATATAAACTTATTCATGGAAAGCTCCTGGACCTGATGCATTTCCAAGCTAACTTAAAGATGACATATAACCTACATGCTTCAAAAGAATAAAAATGATTATTCCTGCTTTGGAAATCAATACTTACCTTGGATTTCTGGGAACTTCATCATAAAAAGCAGACCCCAGCGCAATGTCGTAGTTGCGGTTTCTGTCCCGGCCTCAATCAGGTCTAGACAAGTCACCACTAATCCTTCAATGTTAAAACCAGCCTCAGGGTCACTATTTTTCTCCAAAAGTGGGAATCAGTACAAAAATATGCAAAAACTCTCTTATCAAAACAGCCTTAGGTTGATCAAATGGCAGTATCAAAACAGATGCCTAGAAATTTGTATTTTAAAAACTTATTAAAATAAAATGACATTTTAGTTACCTTTTCCATCTCAGTCAGGTAGTTGTCTATAAAGTCACGTGGGTTTGAAGGGTCCCAGTTCTCTTTGTGTTTAATGATCTCTCCTCTCAGGAAGTCTGTTATTTGCTTATAGTTGGAAAAAATAGTCTGATGGGGGCCAGGTAAGTATTCCAAGAGCCAAGGACACACATTATACAGCTGTGAAAGATGACATAATGGGTGATGAGTAAATTTTTTATTATAATTAACTCACAGGTTATGAAAGTAGTGTCTAAGGATGCTGTTATGAATCAGTACCTGTGCTCTAGGAGAGCCCATTAACTGAATGCATTCAGTGTCAAGACGCAGAATTCTTTGATAATATTCATCACGATAGTCAAAGCGTTGTCCAAATATTAAGCAGGAGATGATATTTGAGACGGCACTGTTTAAGGTGACCATGGGGTTAAAAGGTCCTGTTTGAGGGAAAAAAAACCCGTTGTTTATGTTCATGTATAAGTATATATATATTAATTTTTATCTCCAAATAATTTTTTATTCTATTCATAAAATAATCCAGACATTTAGACCATACCCTTTTCTGCCCTAAAAGCATTACAAAGGTGGACACATTCTTGTTGGATTCTGAGCTCAAGGCTTTTCTTCCCATCTCCAAATGTCCGCAAATGGGAGACAGCAAACTTCCTTTAATTTGGAGATAAAAATTAATATATATATTAATATATATATACTTATACATGAACATAAACAACTTTTTTTTTTCTCAAACAGGACCTTTTAACCTCATGGTCACCTTAAACAGTGCTGTCTCAAATATCATCTCCTGCTTAATATTTGGACAACGCTTTGACTATCATAATGAATATTATCAAAGAATCCTGTGTCTTGACACTGAATGTGTTAAATTAGCAGGCTCTCCTAGAGCACAGGTACTGATTCATGGTAGCATCATTAGATGTTGCTTTCCATTTCTAATATCCTGTGAGATAATTATAATTAAAAATCTAAATTAATCACCAATTATGTCATCTTTTACAGCTATATAATGTGTGTCCTAGGCTCTTGGAATACTTACCTGGCCCCCACCAGACAAGTTTTTAACTATAAGCAAATAACAAATAACTTCCTGAGAGGAGAGATCATTAAACACAGAGAAGACTGGGACCCTTCAAACCCACGTGACTTTATAGACAACTACCTGACTGAGATGGAAAAGGTACAGTAATAAAAGGTGGAATTTTCTTTTTGAAATTGAATTTTGAATAATTCAGTACTTTCTTTTTTATTTTTCACAGAAAAGGAGTGACCCTGAGGCTGGTTTTAACATAGAAGGGTTAGTGATATCTTGCTTAGACATGACTGAGGCCGGGACAGAGACCTCTGCTTCTACATTACGCTGGGGTCTACTTTTTATGATCAAATATCCAGAAATACAGAGTGAGACTGGTTTTAATTTTTTAAAGAATCTACATATTGTCACCACATTATGACTAGCTTGTATTTCCCATTCAGAAAAGGTGCAGGCAGAGATAGACAGGGTTATTGGACAGTCACGTCAACCCTGTTTGGCTGACAGAGTTGATATGCCCTACACTGAGGCTGTTATCCATGAGATGCAAAGACTTGGAGATGTTGTTCCGCTGGGATTCCCTAAAAAAATCTGCTAAAAACACAACACTAGGAGGATTCTTCATTCCTAAGGTATGAGTTCTATTCTATTCTATTCTATTCTATTCTAAAGACTATTAGTAATTGTTGATTGCTGCACAAATCAGTAGTTTTGATTCTTTCTTTTTTAGGGCACCTCTATTTCAACAAATCTGTCTTCAGTCCTGCATGATCCAAATGAATGGGAGACACCAGACACCTTTAACCCAGGACACTTCCTGAATGAAAATGGCCAGTTTCGGAAAAGAGATGCTTTTCTGCCTTTTTCAGCAGGTAATGTTTTATAAACATTCACATATAACATCTCAGTGTCTGATTTGCTTGTAATTATCTTTTTGTGGACAAGTACAGAAGAACAAAACTAGCACACACTTTTGAAACTTATCGTACCTAATTACACTGAAGTGAATTAAAAGGGCAATATGCTTTTAGAAATGAATAAAAACGAATGCTATAATGTATAATTTAATCAGTGAAATTTTTTTTCTGACAACAAAAACAATGAGTGGTTTTGAAAGAATGAACTCTCAGGCTGTTATATGTGACTCCCTGTATGTGTAGTCACAGGAATAATTATTTTTTTTCCCCATGTGTTTGATTATTTTGTTGTGTTTATAATATTGTTTGCTGTTATTATGTTTAATGGTGATGCGTAGTAATCTCAGTGAACAGTAGGGGGAGACGCTGTGCTGATTAAGGACTGTGTGGTTAACGGTGAGTCGCGGAGAAGAGGCCATTACAAGAGCGACTCCATGACTGAAAGCAGCAGAACTATCCCTGCGTCTCAATGTTCATACTATCCATCCTAAATAGTATGTGAGATTAGAATAAGTGTGTCCCAAAGCATAGTATGTTGAAAAGAGTGTGCCAGAAGTCCCCGGATGGTCTACTATTTCAGGTGAATTTTTGAAGTGTGGATTCGTGCACACTCTAATGGCTAATATTGCCCACAATCCATTTCGCTTTGGTGAAGGATTCTGTCCAGAACTACAAACATGAATAAAACGCATTAAAAGACTACAAACATGGCGGATGTGCGTGACCGGCGGTTAGGTAGAGAGGCTTGGAAAAAAGGGTTTGAGGTACTAATTTTCCACATTTAACCTTGTAAAAAAATATTTATTTCATGTTATCTGTGTTATATTTAATCTGCAACAGCAATGTAAACTTTTATAAACATCCGTTTGGTCTTTAACTTTTAAATGCATCATTATGCATAAAATATGAGCAGCGTTCTCGGCATGAAAGACCCGCGACTGGCAGATCAATGTGCTACTTCTT